GAGAAGTTCTTTGGGGCTTTCACTATGCACAAGGGCACTTTGAGAATAGGAGACCCTGTAGGCTTGTTCTCAAGAAAGTGTCACAAAATGGCTTACTTACAGCTGATTGACTGTCATCATCTCAGCTTTGAAATGCAGGAAAAACTGAGAGAAGCAGTACTTATATGAATTTGATTTTTAAATAAGGTCTGTTATGTAGTCACTCACAATTGTGGTACTTTAGTAGATGAATTTTGTTAATGCATATGAGAACATTTGCCAACCCTGAAAGTACCTTCTGTTTTAAGTTAATCAATAATATTGCTTTGTGATTGGCAGCTTATTACAGAAAATCCCTTCTTATTTAGTCACCCACCTAAAATTTTCAAAGTGTCGCTTAACTCGAGAATATAAAGTTGGAATATATATTATCAGGATGAACCACTAAAATGTTAAAGACTGTTTGTCTTATTTGTCAACTCTTTCTAACAGATCTGGATAATTCAGAGAAGAATGAAAAACTGAAATTCAGCATCCTTGTACGACTTCCTCCGGTAATCCTGAATTTTATTTTCCCCTAAGTCTTGGCACGACCCTCTTTCAATTTCTTTTTGTAAGAAGAGCATTTACTTGCTTTTGGCTAAAGTCAATTGAAGTATTTCATTTTCCAGTTCTTCCCAAGAAATCCTATCCACCCCCACCCCTCTGTTGGCTATTTCTCCTTAGGTCTACAATGTACTTGCTTTTCTGGCTTTGCACAGTATTGACATAGCCCACTAAGAACATTTAGCCATTTTCTCCTCTTAGGAAACCACACTAATATTTACATCTGAGTCTGAGTAGGAGTGAGAGGGGAAACATGTGCTTTTGGCATTTAAACTGATAAGAAATTTAAATGCAGGTGAGGTCAGAAGGTTCTGGAACTGTATTTCCTCTTAGTACATTTCCAGCAGGAAAACATTCCCAGGTCAAAGGAAAAATGAGAAACATGAGGGGAAAAAGTTAAAGGAATTCCTTGGAGGTTTTTCTTTCTTTCTTTCTTTTTTTTTTTTTTTTTGAGGGGGAGGGGTGCACTAATATCCAAGTCTGAAATACCACGAAAAAATACAGAATTCCACAGCAAAGTCTTCCGACTACTTCCTGACTCTAAGAGCCTAAGTACCCTGTCCACGGTTTACCTCCCTTGAGTGCTTGTACTTCTGACACCATCCTCCCCAAGGGAGGTCCTTTCTGGACCTAGTGGTCTCACTTTGTAATAGTCTCTCTCCATCACAGGCTTAATGAAGCAAAGGCAAGAATAGAGAACAAAGCATATTTTCCCTGGCTCAGTCTCTCTAGGGAACATTGCTGAACATTTAGTTTGGTCTATAAATTTGATTTTTGTTTTGTTTTGTTTTTTTGGCCTCAGACTTAGTGAATAGAAATTTCCTAGGTAAGACAGGGGCAGAGAAGTTGATATAAACATGCCTATAACCTTTTGTTTGCTTTTAAAATATCACTTAGGCTTGCCACACACATTTCCAGCTTTTAAGAGTAGCAGATAACTCCATTTCAGAAAAAGAATTTGGCAGCATGAATGTATCAACTGCTTCCCTCAAGGTAGCATTTGATGGGAGTCTTAATTCAAAACTCAGAAGCATACTTCATAGGAATGTAGTCTTTCTTTTAAAATGGCTAGTCATTTTGGAATATTACTTTTAAAATTATGAACACATAAGGTATATTTAATGAACTGTGAGATATATTCTTTATGCAATTTTCAATTTGCATGATAGCTCATTGGTCAGAAGATCTGTCGAGTTTGGGATCATCCCATGAGTTCCAATATCATTTCACGGACCCATGTGACCCAACTGCTCCAGAACTATAAGAAGCAGGTGAGTCTGTGAAAACACAGCCCTTCCATGTTCCTGAATCCTGTTTCCCAGTGTCAACATATCCACATGGACAGCAACTGTAATTCTGATGACTTTAAGTGCATGATTGTTTCAGAGATATCAGTTAATACCAGAAGTGGTTTCTCTTTTAGTCTCGGAATTCTATGATGGACAAGTCATCATTCAGTGTAGAATTTCTGCCTCTGAACTACTTCATTGAAATTCTGACTGACCTGGAGTCCTCCAGTCAAGGTAATTCAGCCCTCTGTTCACAGCTTTCTCCTTGACACATCAGTCATTCTCTATTCACTTCTGTGTACCATTTTATGTTCAAAAATATGCCTTACTTTATAAGTAGGCCTTTACTGCAATTGATTTTCATTAGCCATACACAATTTACTGCCCAAATTACAAAAGGAATAATCACCTTTGATGTTTTAAAAGGGTTTAAATCCTGTTTAGTTGATGTGAATGCTCTTGAAGTTTGATGAAATTTCACAACACATTCTGAGAATGTATTTTGATAAAATATAAAGTTAATGAGCTATGGGAAAAGGTTATAAATATTCCTCAGTTCTATAGTAACACACATACACATTTTTCCCCCCAGCTCTGTGTGATTTTGAAGGACATGACAATGTGGATGCGCAATTTATACAGGAAGCAGCTCTGAAACACACCACAATGCTTTTGGACTTATAAAAGAAAAAAAAATTCTATTGTAACTACTTGTAATATTTTAATCTTGCTCATTAACCTTACTCATATTGATAATTCTTTAGCAATATTTAAAACTGATAAAAAATCAGAATATATTGTTGAACAGTCTCAATTTCAGTTTGGTCCTTGTTTAGACAGAATTAACCTCATTCCAGTTTTGAACAACCAATAAACAGTCAAGTGTATTGAAATGACAAACAGTCCAAGATGACCTACAGTGCCATAAACAGTGCTCTTCCTAGTGGCCAAGCAGACCAAGAGCTAGTTTCTGTTGAACTTTGGAATAAAATGGACTTCAGAAATGTAGGAAATAGTGCTTATGCCAGCAAAAACTTAAAAATAACAAGCAGAAGAAATATTGTATAAGAATTTTACTTGAAAAGGAGTTTTTTTTTTAATTGGACTAGATAAAATCTATCTCCACTATACCATCATTTGTAACATAGTAATTTGTACATGTAATAGAGTAGGGTTTGTCTTTGTGATAGTTCAGATGGAACGGTATTTAATTTTTTATATTTATAAAAGTTTGATTTAGTATTATACTATTAAAAAACCCAAATGCTGACAGCTTTGGTCTGACTCTTGTTTTTTAACATAGCCTTTTTATCCAGGAATCTTGAGTCCATGAACATGTTCCTTTAGTGTTCCCCAGGACACCTTAACTGGTTGTACCATTTTTCTGTTTTTCTCTCTTACAGTGACTTAATTCTGACCCATAAATACAGTTGCTTCTGGGACTCAGCTTATAATGCTTTTTTTCCCCTCTTCAGTATTCTTGTGAAAATTTAATGATTATAAATATCACCAATGATTATTCAACTTTTCTTCTTAAAAAAAAAGTCACCATTGTGTTATAAAAATTGCCCTCTCCTATAGAATTTCCTCTTTTATTCAAACACTTCATAGTCACCAATCCTCAAGATCTTGGAGCCAAATCAGCAATGCAGTGCTGATTCTTTTGAATGAGGTCTTTTTTGAATTGTCATTGTCTAAAGCCTAATTTTTCACACACATATTTAAGATAAACATTAGTTTGATCCTATCAGTCTGCTCATAATCATTCAATAGCTTGCTATTCAGTAAAAGAAAATTCAAACTCCTTATCGTTCAACTTTTCCAAATCCTGACCCTGCATACCATGAGCATTCTTTTTGCAGGTAGGCCAGCTCACAGGGACATGAATACAGCTTTTTCAAGCTATTTCTCTCACTTAAAATCTCTCTCCACCTGTTAAAATCTTTTTCATGCTTAAGGGCTAGATTAGAAGTTCTGTTTGATGGGGCTGGGGCTGTAGCTCAGTGGCAGAGAGCGCTTGCCTAGCATATGTGAAGCACTGGGTTTGATCCTCAGCACCACATAAAAATAAACAAATAAAATAAAGACATGCTTGTCCACCTACAATTACAAAAAATTTAAATAAGAAAAAAGTTCCACTTGAGTATAATCCAGGTCATTTCAACACATGGTGGCACCTACCTTCTCTCAACCAGTAGTATACATTATAATGGTTAAATATCCATCCCTTGTGATTTTTAAAAGGTGTTTCCTTTTTTTTGGTGTTTGAACTTCAGACATTTAAAAAAATTTGTTCTTATTAGTTATACATGACAGTAGAATGCACTTATGGTTTTTAAACTTATGTGCATATATTTTGAGTCCTTAAAGAGATTACTAGTTTCTACAACACAGCTCTCTTTAAGTATATAGCATTCATTTATTAACTACATGGTTGATACAGTGTTACTTATCAAAGGCACTCCCAAATAATTACTTTATAATAACTCTGCAAAGCAATTAGGTTAGATTTGGGACTCAGAATGAGAAGGAAATTAAATTTTCCAATTTGACAAGATAGGGGCTTAGAACAGAATATTTATCCAAATAAAGGGATATATTTCTCATTCCAAGAGTTGTGAAATAAAATTTATAATTACTACCAGTGACTATAAAAACATATGTTTCAACCTAGTTGTATATTCTTGTATATGAGAAATCAGAATTAGGAAAATACACTTGGTGAAATGTAGTAAGTAGAATTGGCCTCATTTTCAGGTCTTCTCTCTCACATGCAAAACTGTAAATATAGTATTTAATTTGAGATTTTGATAAATCTATTATTAGAGCTTAAAATAATCATTTGATTTACAGATAATGTGAAAAATTCGGATTCATAAGAAAGATAGATTAGGACATAAATATTTGTGTGGCAAAAGGATTCTTGTGAAAAAGAATCACTATAACATCAAAAAAGACAAGCTTGGCTACTGCTTCTTACCTGATTTAGATTTACTAACATGACCTTCAAGTGCCACCTCAACAAACTGAGTTATGCTTTGTGATCCTTGGGATATCTTAAGTTCCATGTATGCAGTTGAAAAAGAATTTAATTCTGTACTTTGATGAAAAGTTATTTTATTCTGCACTTGCCTACTACATATTTCTGAAACTATGAAGAATGAAAAATACACGAGTAATTAAAATATTTGCTTTGAAGTGTGGGGCAATTCTGTGTCTTTCTCAACATCATGTGAAACACAGAAGTTGGTTAGTGTAAAAAGAACCAAGTTGTACTGTTGCTGGTTGAGCTTCATTGATCTGCAGTGTGAGAATGATGATGCTCACGTGCTCTGGCTGTAGAAATGAGGAATCCTGGATTGGTCTACACATTCAAATTTCAATTGGCTTTATAACAGGTTTCCTTATATGCCTCATATTGGCTCCAGGTTCACTGGGCTTAAAAGGAGCCAGAGCACCATATGGCTTTGGCACAGGAAGAGTGGCGTCTGCTTCCGGAATGTAGGCATTTGGACGCTGCTCCGCTGATGTGTAAACACTATTGGGCAGCAGTTGATTATCTCTTTCTCGCAACTCCTGCAAAGAATCATTTTCTTTCAGTTTTCTGAAAACTCTAAAGTTACCTCACCTTCAGATCCCCAAAGACACAACTGAGTCTGAGCAGCCTTATGCTGTGCTCAATGATCCGCCCCCCACATTGCAACTCACTGCTGTGGGCTGTATTGGTTAAGCATCATGATGAGGCTGAGGCTTAGGGTTTATCAAAAACTGCTTGTTGGGTTCTAGACGCACTGCATTCCAACCTCAGTCTCTCATCAAGAGCTAATTATTTCTGCACTTTTTACAAAGGCAGAACAGTAATATTTTCTTTGCTAAGTGACTGATGAGCAAATTTACAACAGACTAGACAATAAATAGAACCAGAAGAGAGAAATGGTCAGCAGTTTGAGCCTCAAGGTCTTCAATATTTCTGCCTGTGCCTCTGGAAAATAATCTTTGGGCACTAATATAAACTCTACACGATGAAGAGTATAGTCCCAGGAAAGTATAGCCCTGGAAAGGCTCGTCCCAGATGGTATGGAAATTACAAATCAGACCCTGTGCTCTGTAGTCCTAGTATGGATTCAGACTGTACATTTTACTTGGCTTAGTGATAAATAGTGATCCTCTTAGGGACATTCACTTGACAGTCTGAATTGTACCCCAGGATGCCATCTCCTTGGCAGGAGATGCTTGATTCTATCTTAATCTACTGAAAGCTTATGAGGGTAGGCAGAAGAACGGGGCACCAAACTTGTGTATGGATTCAATGGTAGAAAGAGACTTAGGCCAGAGGTGGGAGAAGAAAGGAGTGGCCTGGAGGCCTGTGATGCATACCAGGTGTGATGTCTGTAGAAGGCAGTGGCAATCACCTTGATATGCATGATATTGTGGAAGTTTACAATGTGCTGTGAACACAGAAGAGGCAGGTATCTGAGCAAGGGTGTGAGAAGAAAGACTGGAGACCTTTGGACGAAGCCAGTGCCATGCTGGTGGGAGCCCTGGGAGTAGGACTGGGAGGGGACTTGATGCTTATTGAGTGTTCTCCAAGTGCACTGCTATACTTTGACTTATCTATGTAATATAACAAGTTTCTTTTTAATGTCTTTTGGGACTGTGTGTAGGAGAGGAAGACATTTTTCATAAATGGGCTGAGCATCCCTAACCCCAAAACCTGAAATCCAAAAATACTCCAAAGTCCTAACTTTTTGAACACAGGATGTCACAAGTGTAAAATTCCATAGCTGACATCACTGTGGGTTGTAGTAAAAACTCAGGCTATGTGTGTAATGTACATATGAAATATAAATAGGTGCTATACCCAAGATAGCTCATTATGTATATGCAAATATTCTGAAATCTGAGAAAATCCAAAACACTTTTGGTCTCAAGCATTTTGAATAAAGAATAGACCACCTACATAGGAAGACTGGTCCCCAGAAAACAGCCCTTCCTGGCACACTTAAAATTTTTTTTTTTTTTTAATTAATCCAGGGGTGCTTTACCACTGAGCTACATCTCCAGTCCTTTCTATTTTTGAGAAAAGGTCTGGCTAAGTTGCTGAGGCTAGCCTCAAACTTGTGATCCTCCTGCCTCAGCTTCTTCAATTGCTGGGATTACAGTGACTGTGTCTGGCCTTTCTTGGCACACTTTACAAATGCAATATGGGAGCCAAAGCTTACCCGAAACTTTTCAGCGAGGGCCATTTCATACATTTGTTCATCTCGAAGTACTTTCATCCATTCTCTCTCAATGTCTTTATTGAGTGGCAGACCTTTTTCTAACCTAGAATTGCAATAAAAGATGAATTCTTCTTTCTCTTTGACTTCCTTCTGGAGTTCAATGGTCAGGGCTTGTTTCATGGACAGCTCAGCAACAAGAGCCATCATTTTTTCAGTAACATCTTTGATCCTTTTCTGATAGCCATTCATCTAGAATCAAAGAGCCCAAGGTTTAGTCAATATGTACATTCCATGAAGACTTGAAGAAAATGGCAGTCTGTTGGCTGTCTGTAATGGTGTGTGTGTGTGAGGGGGGCAGCATTCTTACCTGAAGGAAGGAAGGTTTAATAATTTATGGAAAATAAGAAATGAATGAGACTTCAGGGATTGAGCCCAACACCCTGGTGTATGAAGAAAGAAAATGTTTATCAGTTACTTGATTTTGCAGTGAACAGCATGGAGGGGAAGTTTAGTGTCTGTTTTTAAGAGGTGAGAAAAAGAGATGAGAGAATGGTCTTAATGCTTCAGTTCTGGCCGAAGTTAATAGTTTGTATCTTACCCAGCTGAACTAGAGCTTTGCTGGCCATGTCAAAGTGGTCACTATTATCATTTCTCAGGTACCTTCCAGGGAGACATTGAGCTTTGACAAATAAGCCCTCATTTTAAAAAAAGAAAGTGACTTTTCCTCAAGAAGGGAAATTCATTTTGCAGAAGGAAGGTGGCAACATTTACAGAAACATGGGGTGTGCAAATTCATGAGCTTAAGTAAGTATTAGTGATTATTTTATGAGGTAAAGTTGTGAACTATAGAGCTGCCACTGGACAGATCAGACTATTAGAAGTGGCCAGAGGACAAAGATAAAAACCAAATAAAAATGAAAGTACCCTAAGATTTACTATCTTTCCTATTTAGTGTACCCAACCTTTCTAGAATAGGATTACGTATTCATGGATGTGTTTTTAGAGTCTAGTACATGTGAGACACTGGGGAAACTTAAGAATGAGAAACTATTGCTGCCTTCTGGAGCCCACAATCTGGGATATAGCCACCACCATTATCTATCATCTTCTGTCTTCCCTGCTGAACATCATACAAGGTGGACAAGGTGTCCCTTCCTCTTTGTTTTTGCCCTCACAGCCTAGCATGAGAGTAGCACAAAGTAAGAGTTCAGTGACAGTGGCTGAGTGCTGAAATCCCTGTGTCGGCGAGATGCTGCCAGGGATTACAGGGGCCAGGTGAATGACCCATCTTCTCATTGCTCAAGGTGCTGAGTCTAGTCCTGATATGTCTGAATCCCCAACCTCCCTTCCTGTGACTGCAATTTTTAGCATAGCTTTTAGTAGTTCCGCCCCCAGTAATTTTGAAGCTCCATGTTATTGGCCTTTCCTCGTTGGTGGTGGCTGCACCTCATGGTGTAGTCAGCCTGGGTATAGTGTGTCTGTTCTGCTCTTCAAGGAAGCTGAGTTTGGAATTGGAGCCTTTCCTACAAACCACTGGATAAGTGAGGCCTTCTGTTCAAAAGGCATTAGGATTTAATTTTGTGCATGAAATACAAAGATAACAATTTTCATACTTGAGTGGTTGCCTGATAACTTATTTACTATTATTGAAAAGCTTAGGTTTTTCTCATTGTAAAATGAATTCATTCAGGGAACAAGACAAACTTGTTTTGGACAATTTGGAGTCATTTTATAGTTTTATGTTTCTCTAATCTCTCCAGGGCTTCTCTCAATAAAAAAAGCAACCTGGAAAATGAGAGCTAATACAGGAGTAGGGGCAGAAGAGAGAGGGTGGGTTTCAGGCAGACCTTCTTGGCTAAGAGCAGCGTGTCCTGTTTGCAGGCCTCAGTTTTGCTGCAGAGCCTGTCTGTAAGTCGGGAGACCTGTTCGAAGATGAAATCCTTCTCTAGTAACTTCTCCTCCTTCTTGGCCAACTGTAGTTCCAGCTGTTGAAAACAATTTCAATAGGAAGAAAAAAGAAAACACTCATGCAAGGCACAATCTTCTTTCCTAATTGGAGCACTACCTGACTCCCACCCCACCCCCGAGTGGTGGAAAGACACTGCTTTCTCAGTTGTTGCAAGTTTTTGGAGATTGAGCCAAGTCAAGACTTCCCATGCCCCAGCCCCCTCCAGATAACTCTGGGAGTTCTTCCCTCCTGGTGGACTAGGGCCTAGTTCCATCAAGCGTCCACAGTTGTAATAGTTGAGTAGTTGTTTGCCAAATGAAGCTCCAATGTTTTGAAAAGCTTAGGTTTTCTCATTGTAAAATGAATTCATTCTGAGAACAAGGCAAACTTGTTTTGGACAATTCTCTCAGTCATTTATAGTTTGTTTCTCTAGATGTAAAGCCTAATCTCCCCAGTGCTTCTTTCAATAGCTCCAGATAGCACTGGAAATTCTTACCTCCATGGTAGACTTTGGACCTCTCAGCTCTGCCCAGTACAAAATTATCATTCTTTTGATCAGTAAGACAAATTGATCCATTCATTCAAGAAGTCAAAATGGTTGCTTTTAGCCCTGAGGGAATGGTGTCTTAGGAATCTTGAAGCACTGGACTTTTACTTTTGGTAAGTGTCTAAATCCATTTTAAAAATTTTTACTAGGTTACAGTAAAAGGACTCTATGAGTGGCTGGAATAATGGATAGGTCTCTCAGCATAACAGGAAACAGGACCACAGGTATCTCTGAAACTGTACACAAGAGGCAAGTAGATGCAGTTTTAAGCAAGGCTGTTTACCTCATCTAATTTTTTGATAATTTCTGCTTCTGTGAGGTCCTTCCCTCGAAGGAGACGGATTCTGTTTTTATCCCCAGGATTTATAAACTGTTTCTCCAGGTCTCTTATTCTGTCTGTACACTGTGCAAACTGTTAAATAACAAACATACATTAGTTTTAAAACTAACTCTCCAGCTCAGTAAATCTTAGGCTTGTGTGGCCAGGGTCTCTAGAGCCTTTTAGTTGGCCCAATCCAGGCAAGGGTAGAGGAGAACTGTTTTCTTAACACCCGAAAGTTGGGACTTGTGGTTAACAGTGTTTCTGTTCACTCATGGGACCATGAGGATGATGCCTAGGGTTGACTATGCAAAACAAGTCTGGCTTCTGAGTCAGAGAAAAAGCTGAGTTCACAAATAGCCCTTCAATTGCTTCCCATTTTGTGTGGGATGCTGCATGGTTATAGGACTCAAAAATATACAGCCTATCTTTTTGTGTTGCAGGTTGTTACAGAGCCCAGGGTAGCTAGCATATAATATGCTGACTACACTTTAAAACCATTTGCTGGCAATAGGCTTAATGGCATCCTCCAAAAGAAGAAAGTTGTTAATTATGGGGTCACACAGTGAAATTCTTAGCATCAGTCATGTGTATATTTTTGTTAAATCTCTAATATAATGCTTTATATATCAATTTGTTGAATCATTGAAACTTGGAGATAGATGAAGAAACAGGACTACACTCATACAGAAATGATAGGCACATTTAGTTTTTTTCTTTATAATGAGAGATGTGGAGCATGGTGACAATCAAGAGGCATTATTTCAACTTTCTACTGAAGGCTTATGTGATCAGGCAAATCATTTCTCTGAACCTTAGTTTCCTCGATGGTCACATGGGAAGATAAGGCTCAATCAATAGAGTTGATCCATCAAATGAGATAACAGATTTGAAGTATTTTACAACATGCCCAAGAGTGGCACAGATAGGATTTTAAAAATTCCAATCAATGCTCCTCCTCCTCCTCATAAATTTTTTTAATGGTAATAATTTTTTCCTTCCTTTCTACATTCCTTAATAGCACTTAATCCCACATATACTTCAATTCTATATTAAAATTTTAAGTTCTTGCTAACACAATGTTCCCTTAACTAGAAAACTGAGAAACAAAAATGCAGTGTTTATCAAAGTGCCTTCATTTTATTCCTCCATTGGCATCTGAGGAAAAACTGTTCACTTTCTCTCTATAAAAGTGTCTTGGTATCCTAAAATAGTTCAAGAGACTTCTAAGATCCCTAAAATGGAGTTGTTATTACAGGATCCAGGAGATCATGACTCATGATAGTTCTGTATTAGTCTGTTGGACAATTAAAAACTGTTTCAAATAACGTGGTGGTGGTGGTGGGGAAGCTTAATAGAGTTCTGAAATAATACAACAAAGATGACTTAAAAAAAAAAAAGCTGAAACACTGCGTCTGAAACCAATAACAGGATATGATGAGGATCCGGCCCTGGAGGACAGAGTGCAAACATGATGTACTTGAATCTAGAAATTTTGCATCACATCCTTCCAGAGCATGTGTGATTAGTGTTGAGTAGACAAACATTTAAATGCAGTTTGAAGATGAATGGGAAACTTTCTATCCAACTGTTCCTAAGCATAGAGTTCACCCTGCTAAAATAGGTAACTGATAATATGTAGCACACATTTCGATTAATAAGCAATCAAAATGATAATGGCTCACCATCGTCATGCACGGCAAGTAGTATTAAATATTTTCCTTTTGGGTAAAACTGCATTCACATTTCACAGTGGATGATTTTATCTAATGAAATGCCAAGTATTTTTTTTCTGAAAACAATTTTCAGTGGATGGAATTATTGATTTGTGGTCCACACAAAGAATATGCTCACAGAGAAGACATTGTTCTATTTTTGATCTTACTGAATTTAAAGTCTTTTTGGACATCCTGATAGTTGAGAATGAATGGGCAAAGACAGACCTGAAGCTACATTTTGGGAGAGAGCTGAATTACTATAAAAAAATTCAGTGACTGGAGGATAGCGTGGGACAATGAAGCTGTGGAGGGAAATGGGAGATGAAAGACCAGTCAGTGAAATTGAGCCAGGTGGGGGTGCTGCATGGGGCAAAGCACCTGGGGGTGGGGGGCATCCCTGAGACAGAGTGGCCCCAAAGGACTTTGAAGGGCATGGATTTCTTAGATCTAATTTGAAGTTCCTTGCCTTTCTGTAACATAACCCCATACAGAGTTGCCTCAGATCTTCACTAAAATCTGTTCAAAGGCCTTGATCTTGAGTAGGTGTAGACCAAGGAAGGGACCAGTCCAGAGGCTGCACTGATGTGGCACAGAAGTGGAACAGGCACTGAGTGTTTGGTCTGATGAGGGAAGTCCCCACATGAACCTCTTGTTCATTATTAAATTATAGGGGAATTAGAGATTAAATCTCATTCTATGTGACTGAACATTAATAAGCAGCAAGCTTCAGGTAATCACTTGCTCCAGAGGACAAGAGGACCACACATGGTGCCCAAGCTGTTCCCAGCAAGCATCAGCAGCATAATTATGCTGTGGCTATTGACAGCCTAGATTGCTGAAGTTTTAAGATATGAGGAAGCTGAGCTAGAAAAAGGGGGAAAGCAGGAGATGCTTCATGAGAGAAAAATCTATAGCTATGAAGCCTTCTCAGATTCCATCCCGGAGTAATGTTTAAAGGTATTTTCAAACAAGACGTCATTCATAGGTTGCTACAGGCACCAGGAGTAGCATGGATTGGTTTACATGCAAGAACTCAAGTGATCTACAAACTAATTAAGGTAAGAGACAAATGCAAATGATATGAGGAAGTGTCCCAGGACAGCTCTCCCACCTGAATCTGGAGCACCGCAAGATCTGCATCCAAGGCACTCTTGACTGGCAGTAACTTCTTTGTCACGCTAATCTGTCTTTGCTTCTCGGCTATCTTCAGTTTTAGGAATCGGATTTTTTCTTCCAGGACATGTATTTCAGTTTCCCCATTTAGTTTCAACTTCTCTTGGATATTTATTTTTTCATAAAAAATGCACACTTCTTCTTCTCGCTCAATCAGCTGAACACCACTGTGGTCAAATTCAAATGAAGAGGCTAAGTGAATGCTAAAGCTACTGTTTCACTAGTTAACTGTAGTTCCCTCTAGCTTTGGGTACACACAAACACACAACACAGGAAAATTCCAGAGGGTGGGAGATACTTACTGATGTTTTTCTAGTTAAAACTGCACACTGGATTTTCCTGGAGGTGTGTTTAGCAGCTTGACACTTAGGCCAACCATGTGATTGGTTGGCTGCAGTGTCTCTGTGGATTTCAAAGGTTTTCTGGGGGGCAGGAAAGAATGTCATTCCCCATATGTGAACAAAGTAATCCCATAGTCTGATTTTCTGCAGACCCTGTTCTTGGGCCAGATTTGCCAACAAAATCCTGACCAGAAGTACACAGGCAGGGGGCCAGAGAATGTGTTTTGGGGGTGATTCTGCTCTATATCAAGTTGCCAGGCCCACTAGGTTCTTTTAAAGTTGAATATTTTTTGATGCTAATTTCCCCATAAACAGGCAAAAATCTGCCCTTTGTAATCATGCTGATGAGTGGGGGTGACCCCCAAGACCCCCTCCTTGAGAGGAGACTATGGGAAAGAAACAAGGAATTTCTAACTAACTCCTGTAGCTCTGGTCTGGCCAGGGCCTGGGAGCAAAGCATTTGCTTAAATGCTTTGGTCTGTTTTAGGAACCAAATAAGATATATTACCTCCGCTCAGAGAACACACTCATCTATCCTTAGAAAAAGTGCTATTCAAGGACCCTAAAGGTCTTTCTATACCCGTTGTGTATGCATTACCCAGAATTCCACCTTTAACTATTTCTCTGTCAAAGTTTCTCATGTCAATAGTCTCAGCAGAAGTGAGGGGCAATGTTTTACCGTCTTTTTGTAGTCTGATGGTCAAGCACTCCAATACCTCACACAGAACAAAAAATCAGATACCAGGCATCATTACTACAGGGCTCTACAACCACACATTCCAGGTTCTCAGGGCACAAGTAACTTGGGGGAAACTGCTAGAATATAAATTTATTAATGGCACAATTGCAGCCTGGAAGAAATAAGACCATTTAAGGGTCTTATTGTTGAGAAAATGAGCTAAGAGAATGGCTTTGATAAATGTAATACGATCAAACTTGTCACCAAAATGAATACCAGTTTGTTTATGTCAATTATGTGAAAAGAATTTGATATTATCAGAGATATCCTGAATGGTAGCCTGAGAAAAGACGTTGATCTTAAAAGTGAATAACCTCCCATCGCCTCCTCTTTGCCTGTTTCTTTTACAAGGATAGCAGTTCTTATTTTTAGGCAAGACCTCCTCTAAAGGCTAATGAAATCTGAATGTCACATGTCCCTCACTCCTGTCAAATCTAGGAGGAGTAAGGGTGACATATCTAAGTCACATACTTTGGTACCCTGTTCTCACACTAGGTTCCTGGCCCTTACCTTTCATTTCGCCTCTGCACAGCCTTCTCATACTTTTTGCGGAGTCGCACCATCTCCTCTTCTATCGTTGTGATCGTATTGGCAAGTCTGTCCATGCTGGTTAGCTGGGTTTCCTTCTTCTCTTTCATTTCTTGAAGTTTTGATAAGATTTTGCACACATCGTTTTGCATGCTCTCTCTGATAGTAACGTTGTTGGCATGTTTCAACACAGAATTTTGTAGCTTTCTTTTAAAATAACGGGACAGTGGCTAAGATTATGAGTCTAATGAGGACTTCTGAGACATAAGCATTTCAAAGTAGCTCTTGCTTTCACATGGCTCTTGAAATGACAGTAGTAATAGTAGTGATACTCCGGATACCATTCAGGAGTTTTTGTAATCGTCCCAGGTCTCAGACTCTTCCCTCCATCCAGAATAGGACACCTTTCCTTGGTGCCCAGGGTTGTGCCACTCCTCCCCCCCTTTGTCAAAGCAAGAAACTATAGTCAGTCATCCTTGCTCTGCTGTCCTCCAGAGGCTGCTCTCCTGAGGACAAGGTGGTCCTATCTGAAGGCATCTATTGGACCTGAGCTGGTGCCTGCACTTTAGTGTGGGCCATAATTGGTGCTGAATGAGATCACAGCCTCTGTAAATGATATTTAACTTTCCTGGTGGGTGAGAACCTGATTGGGAAATTATATTTTTTCTTTCTATACCCACCACTCTCCAAATGAAGCCATTTTGTAATGTGTTTATTAAAGGAAACTGGACAATAAAAAGCCAATGGAAGAAGTTCACATTGTGTAGACTCAGGAGATCAGGATCTAACATGAGTAAAAGAGTCCAATGTAGCATATGGCAAACAATAAATCAATAAAACTACCATTTGCCAGACACCCTTCTGTGTGCTATTACACCAATTAGCTCACATAATAATAAAAAGTCCTATGCAATAAAGACCCTTCTAATGGAAAAGGAAAGTGAGTCTAGAGATAAAAGTTAGCTTATTCAAGGTCAGTCAGCTAGTATGTGGCAGAGCTGGGATCTGCATCTAGGAAACCCCCTCTCTTAATTGCTCTCCGGTATTGCCTCCTGTAGGTTCATTAGATGCTTTAAATCTACAACCAGAGGATGCAGACTAATAGACAATTTGGTTGTTTTCTAACAAGTGCAGATTAGATTTTTCTAATTGGGCAAATGACAATCATAAAATCATATTAAATACTTACACATTATATTTGTCCGGCAATGGATAAAGAAAATGTGATATATATACATAATAGAGTTTTATTTAGCCATAATGAAGAATGAAATTGTCATTTTCAGGAAAATTAATGGAACTTGAGAATATTATGTTAAGGGAAATAAAGTCAAGGGTTGTATGTTTTGTCTCATGTGGAAGCTAGAGAGGAAAAAAGAAAAGGAAGGTAGTTGGGAAAATTTCATGAAAATTGAAAGGAGAGCAGTATAGTGGAAGGGAAATACTGGGGAAGGATAACGGTCCAGTTACATTGTCATATTGTGTGCATGTATGAACGTGTAACAACAAATCCACCATTATGCACAGCTATGATGCATCCATAAAAAATACGGAAAAAAAAAAGTGTGTCTCCCAAACAAGCATAAGCAATTGTGTTCCAAAGCTTAGATTATTATCTAGGAAACAGTGTTTAAACAGGGCTTTCCCAGCTCTCTAAACTATTATTTTCGATCTTAAGATTCCCCAGTATGACTTTCAAAGGATTATAGTTATTGTAACTCTTACCTGTCCTGAGTAATGGCACTATTTCTTAAAATTTCCAGTTCATTTAATGACATTTTATGCCTTTCTTTTATTTCATTTACTTTCTGGTGAGCTTTATGAAGTAGGTTAACAAACTTGTTTCTTTCATTTCGAATTGTGTCATACAACTTTGCAAACTCTCTGAGCCTGTGAAAATACAAAGTTTTTTGAACTGTGTAAAATAAAAAAATCAACTTTGCACCACCAAATAGATAACCATGTGATTTTTTTCCTTACCTTCGATAAATTTCACGTTTTTTCTTCCTGTATATTCTGATTTCAAGATCCTTTGCTTTGATTTCTTTAACAATGTTGTTATATTTTTGCTGAAATATAAAACTTATATATGAAATAATATGAATACCCCAAGCTGAACCCCACTTCATTCCCATCGGTGAAGGAATCATTTCTCTTGGCATGCTGGGTTATGTAGATCAGGTGGAGGGACTCGGGGAACATCTGAAAATTGCTAGCTGAACTGGTTCAAATGGGCGAGGCCAAAGGGTAACATAAGGACGAGAGATTGTCTGTACAGGTTGGGTTTGAGGAACTATTGAGAGAAGAGTAATTGTGGACTGTATCACTGGACAGGGTGAGTGTAAAGTTTCTGGAAGATAGACAAGCAAAGATGATTTATAGGAAGCTGCAAACATTTTTATGCATGAAACCCTCCAATATTTCATGAGAGGTTGAAGCAATGTTTAAAGTGCTTTTCCATAACCCTCAGAATGGAAAAGAAGAAACTAATATTTAGGTAACTGTGTGAATAATTAAATAGGTATAAAAATGTAATTCCATCTACTCTGTTTTTTTTTGGGGGGGGGTGATAGATGACACTATATTTCCTCTATACCTTTTATCTTTTTTTAAAAAAAGGAATGTAGATGTTGTATGAAAGGAAAATGATAAGCTCTAATGCCTTCTTATAGAAATGACAGCAAACTATAGCTTTAATGGAGCAATTCCCACTGCTAAGAACACTCAAGGAATAAATATTTTCCCTTTATCAGCTTCCAGATCTCAAAAGGAAGAAATATCTATGTTTCAATATGAATGAGCTCATTTTGATTTTGCTACTCTGTTTCTCCCCTCACACCCTCTCTCCTGTCTGGTTGCCTTTCCTTCCCATTCCTGCAACCATTTTCCCCTTCTTTACTCTGTTGGAATCCACCTGTCCCAGGGACTCTACTGGGATCATTGCAGTCTTCATGATGGAATCAAAATCAAAATGTGGATTGAGTAACCTTCCCTATCTCACCTCTCCTGCTCTCTGGTTTTGCCATTTGACATCCTTTCTCCCATCTTCCCCTGTGTAAACTAAGATGAACTTCTTTCAGTTTCTCAAATGTTAAAATGGAAAAATAGTGAATAGAGGATGTGAAGAGTTTGCTATGATTAGATCTTTCTCTCTGCAAAATCTAATCCCATTGCTACAAATGCTCTGGTGTGAGTTTTGTTTTTTCTGGAAAATGAGAAGAAGTGTTGTCCTATGTAAATACTTATCCAAAATGAGAACAAAGGTTTCACTTGGAAACGGCCAATATATGGCTCATATGATAAATTCAAATACTCTTAGTAATATGTCATATCATATCCCTTAAGGAATTTCTGGGTATAATCTGGATATAATCCTTACATGGAACAAATGATTCTAATGTTAGAATTTTAGCTAGCATGACAGGAAGGTTTTATTTTGGGATATTGCACCAGGCCCTCTCTGGTACTCTGCAGGAGTCTGTGAGAAATCATGGAGTGAGAAGCAATAAGCAAGGGTATCCTGGTACTGGTTTGAATGATGCTTGCTGGATAAACCTGGGGGTGGGGGAATTGTCAAATGCTACTGCTCAAGTTGTTTCTAGGCAAATCACAGTGGGATCAGAAATGGTAGTGGATCCCAGGTTTTATCTGTGGCCCATGCACCTGCCTGCCCTGTCCACTGGAGGGACACCCCCAAACCCGCCCAGTTATTGTACTGAAATCACCAACTGTTCAAATCCTCTGCTTACTGTGATTCTTTTTTTCTTTTCTGTAGATTGCTGACTATTGCTAATTGAATTCTAGAACTATTTTTCAGTGCATGACCAAGTCTCATTCATGAAAAATTTATAGTTACTGGGATATGAAGGAGATTTCCAGCAATAGATTTCTAATAAACATTGCACCAAAATGAGCCCCCTCAGAATTTTTTGTAGTAATAAGTGCAATTACCTGAGCTTTCAGGAAATCCTTGGACTTTTGGTCCTTTTCATCAATTTTGATTTGTGTCATACGGATAAGGTGGAACAGCAGTTCTCGGAAGTGTTCTTGCTCCTTTAAAAGCTTGTTTTCTTCTATAACTTGCTTTTCTACCAACTTTAACTCAGCTTCTGATAGAACTTTCTTTTGAAAACCACAACATAGTTATAATTTGTTTGAAGGAATATAATGAAGATAGTATCTTGGACTACCTTTGTAATCCTGTGTAGATTTATTAAAATATAAAACAAAGCAACTCCACCATATTTCCCTCTGTTTTTTCAATAAAAGAATGTGCAAACTAGTGAGTTAACACAATGAAATTTTCTTAGCCTGTTGTCAAATGACTATGAGATAAAAAAAAGTTTTCAAATTTGTCAAAAGTAGCTTGAATAAACAAAAATTGAATTTTTAAAAATTTTACCCCCCCCCCCCCCCCCGCAGTACTAGGGATTGAACCTAGTGCTTTGCATGTGCTAGGCAAGTACTCTATCATCGAGTTATAGCTCCAGCCTTTTAAATTTTGTTATGTTGTGGTGTTGGTGCTGGGGATTCTACTCAGGGCCTCATGTATGTTAAGTAAGAGCTCTACTACTGAGCCATATCCCCAGTCCTTTATTTTATCTTGAGACCGTCTCATAAATTTGCCCAGGCTGGCCCAGAATACATGTGTGCCACTGCACATGTTACTGTTTATTTTTTAAAGTAGTCAATAGTCCTTTTATTTTTAAAGTCTCATTGATTTGTATACATTTTACCAGATCAAACACATCCTTCCCCCCTGCCCCAAACTTAGTGTGGGGTTGGAGTGAACTTTGAGATGTAGCTGAGATGTAGGCTTAGTAGTCAAGCACTTGTCTAATGTGTGTGAGGCTCTGGGTATAATCTCCAGCACTGAGAAAAACTTTATAGAGAAGGAAATACAGCCACATTAAACAGAATGATATTTCCTTGATGACTTTTACTGATGAGATTTCATGGAGCACAATTAAAAATACCACAATAAGCTGGATCAGGAGCACACACTAGTAATCCCAGCCATGTGGGAGGTTGAGGCAGCGGGATCACAAGTTCAAAGCCAGCCTGGGCAATACGGGCAATACAGTGAAATCCTATCTTAAAAAAATAAAATCATGCTCTTGGATAGGCAGAATTAATATTATCAAAATGATCATACTTCCAAAAGCACTATAGAAATTTAATGCAATTCTGATCAAAATTCCAATGACATTCCTCATAGAAATAGAAAAAGCAATCATGAAATTCATCTGGAAAAATAAGAGACTCAGAATAGTTAAAGCAATCCCTAGCACGAAGAGTGAAGCAGGAGGCATCACTATACCAGACCTTAAACTATACTACAGAGCAATAGTAACAAAAACAGCTTGGTATTGGCACCAAAACAGACTGGTAGACCAATGGTACAGAATAGAGGACAAAGAGACTAACCCACAAAACTACAATTATGTTATAATTAGACAAAGGTGCCAAGACCATGCATTGGAGAAAATATAGCCTTTTTAACAAATGGTGCTGGGAAAACTGGAAATCCATATGCAACAAAATGAGATTAAACCCCTATTTCTCACCATGCACAAAACTCAACTCAAAATGGATCAAGGACTTAGGAATACAACCAGAAACCCTGCATATAATAGAAGAAAACGTAGGCCCTAATCTTCATCATGTGGGATTAGACCCCAACTTCTTGTGACTCTTGTGTCACAAGAATTAAAATCAAGAATCAATAAATGGGATGGACTCAAACTAAAATGTTTATTCTTAGCAAAAGAAACAACCTGTGAGGTGAATAGAGAGCCTACATCTTTGGGAGCAAATCTTTACCCCTCACACATCAGATAGAGCACTAATCTCTAGGGTATATAAAGAACTCAAAAAACTAAAAAAAAACCAAACAAATCACCCAATCAATAAATGGGCCAAGGACCTGAAGAGACACTTCTCAGAAGATGATGTACAATCAATCAACAAACACATCACTAGCAATTCATCACTAGCAATTAGAGAAATGCAAATCAAAACCATTCTAAGATTTCATCTCACTCCAGTCAGAATGGCAGCTATTATGCATACAAACAACAGTAAGTGTTGGCGAGGATGTGGGGAAAAAGGTACACTCATACCCTGCTGGTGGGACTGCAAATTGGTGCAGCCAATATGGAAATCAGTATGGAGATTTCTTGGAAAATTGGGAATGGAACCACCATTTGGCCCAGCTGTCCCTCTCCTCGGTCTATCCCAAAGGACTTAAAAACAGCATACTACAGGGACACAGCCACATCAATGTTTATAGCAGCACAATTCACAATAGCTAAACTGTGGAACCAATCTAGATGCCCTTCAATAGATGAATGGATAAAAAAATGTGGCATATATACACAATGGAATATTACTCAGCAATAAAAGAGAATAAAATCATGGCATTTGTAGGTAAATGAATGGAGTTAGAGAAGATAATACTAAGTGAAGTTAGCCAATCCCAAAATATCAAATGCTGAATTTTTTTTTTTTTTTATATAAGGAAGCTGATTCATAGTGGGATAGGGAGGGGGAGCATGGGAGGAATCGATGAACTCTAGATAGGGCAGAGGTGTGGGAGGGGAAGAGAGGGGGCATGGGGTAATTAATGATGGTTGAATGTGATGATCATTATTATTATTATTATTATTTTTTGGTGGTGCTAGGGACTGAACCAAGGGCCTTGTGAATGCTAGGTAGGCACTCTACCAACTGAGCTATATCCCCAGCCCCGATGATCATTATTATCCAATGTACACGTATGAGGACATGAATTGTTGTGAGTATACTATGTATACAACCAGAGCTATGAAAAATTGAGCTCTATATATGTAATAAGAGTTGTAATGCATTCCGCTGTTATGTATAAATTTTAAAAAATAAAAAAGAGAATCATTATGACAACCATATTACCATTCTGAGATAGAAACTTAAATGAGAATATTAACCTGTTGGACCAAATTCCTCTTAGCTACTTCAACTTCCCTGTGGAGTTCTTTCCTTCTCTCAGGTAATACAGAATCATCTTTAGGGATTGCTTCAATCTGGAAATCAAAATTTAAAACAGGTATTTATAGAAAAAAGCAATCTTTGATGTCATGTAATCAAACCCATTACATACTTTCTGAAAAAGGCAGGCAAATCATGTTCTCCTCTTATAGGAACTGCTTATTATGCTGAACACTCTCTATAAAGTCATAGCAAACTATAACCCTGAAGAAATGTCAAGCACTCATTAATCACCAGCTGCAAATATTTTATTTATTCATTTACAAATAAATCTTACTAATATCTATTATTATTTTTATTGAGCATTGACTAGGTGCTTGGAAAACTCTAAGGACTTATATGTATGTTCTTATTTAATCCTTACAATAACCTTATGAGGTAGATAATACTATTTATCTCCAATTGAACAGATGAGGAAAATGAGGCACAAACACATTTAGGTCATTTGCCTTAATGGTACAGGTGCAAACCCAGGCAGTGAATCTTGAGCTGTGATCTTAATACAACATCATATTACCTCTCTAACTCATGCTTCAGCACTTTGAAAACATGCATATACTATGACTATTCGAAAGTGATATTATAAAATGTGAGTTCATTTATGTAATTTTATAGGTTAAAGAAAAATGTAAACTATTTATTACTAATAGTGGGAATAGTTTGATACTTTTAGATAGGAGTGAAGGCAAGCCTTTGTCCCAGGGTAGCAGAGCTATAGACTGGGTGAACTTATGTACAGGTAATGAGCACAGACAGCAGTCTCGCAGATCCCATCATGCTGGCACGGGCGTGAGGCACAAAGAGCCCCGAGGTAGCCCAACCTGGCCTGGTGCAGATGCCCACTCCACACAGCACCACAGCCCAGAACCCTGACCATCCACCATCTGACAACCTCAATCTCCTGCTTCCCAACAATCCATGGGAAAAGGGAAGTGAGGCAGACCTGAAAGGGACCGCAGGACTAACCAATGGCACTGGTAGTTTTCCAAATCCTGATTGGCATAAATTTGGACCAATAGTGTTGATTCAAGTGCTATAGAAACCCCTGGACTAGCATACCCAAGTGGCAACCTGCTATCAGGTCCCCTCTTGCCCCTGTGAGAGTTTCACACTTGAATAAATCCTATTCCTTTCACTCTTGCCTTCTGTTGTCCCGTGAACGTTATTCTTTGGATTTGGAAGACAAGAACCTGAAAAGAAGTTGGCAGTGAGCTGCTGGGGTCTGTTGCAACACTGGAGGACACAGCTTGCCACTCAGAGTTGCAACACATCATTCCATAGTAGTGAAGAATCAGGCTTTGCTGGCTGTGACTTGGAGCTAATGTCCATAGGTATCCTCTGCTGTGATTAGCTGCTAACACTAAAACAGGCTTTCTTGGCTGCAGAGGCCTTCAGGATACACAGACCCAACCACCAACAGAAGTGGAGAATCTTTTCAATAGTTTGATGAGATGACAAAGTTCTTACACAAAAGAAAAGCCTCTTTTTTTGTTGATACCTAAATTTTGTTTGTTTTTCCCCCTGTGTTTAAGTTCTTTGGGAAGAGAGCAAAAGCTCAGTCTATGAATTTTTGTTGCCCTATTTGAAATGATCTTGACAGATTCTTTATGAGGAGAAGGACACATGGCAACTGATAAGGGAAGGTGTCCCATCTGAGGCCACAGGAAGGGACACCTTGGGGTGTGTATGGCCTACTTGATTTTGGACCATTATAACAGAAGCATATGAGACTAATCTGATGTGGCTCATTCTTCCTGTGACAGCATATACTTCCAGGCACCAAGGTTGAATAGTGGCTAAAACTTGTTCCAAGAGGGGAATATCATACTATTTAGTGATTTTAAAGTCACCTAACAAGATCTTTCTGAGAGTCAAGCTACTGTTTTAGAGTAGCTGAAGTGTCACTGGGCATGATGGTGCATGTCTGTAATCCCAGGAGCTCAGGAGGCTGAGGCAGGAGGATCGTGAGTTCAAAGCCAGCCTCAGCAACTTAACAAAGCTCTAAGCAACTTAGACCCTATCTCAAAATAAAAAAATAAAAAGGGGCTGGGAATGTGGCTCAGTGGTTAAGCACCCCTGGGTTCAATCCCCTGTACCAGAAAAAAAAAAGTAGTTGAAGTGTCTTTGGACACTTCATAAACCTGTGTATCTGCAGGAACATCTTTTTAGCTTTGTGTGGCCAGTGATGTCCTGCTTCCCATGCCTACATGGAAAGCTAGTTGTCAAAGAACACATACTTGTCTTAGGGAGATGAATCAGGGTCTTATGAGATCCATGTAACAATATACAGACTCTTGTGGTCTTAATGAACAGATAATTGCTATAGGAGATCAGCAAAGGGAGAGATCAAGTCTATAGGAGAGACTTGATGGAACAGGTAAGAAGTCAGTGAGAAAGAGCTTGATTTTCCCCACTGGAAACTGGAGCTAAGCCTTTCTGGGCAGAGGAAGTCCAGGAAGCATCCTGGGTTCCAACTCATTCTCTGCTACCAGTGGACTAGGAATGGGCTGCTTCCCATGCTCTGTTCCCAGGGGTAAGCAAATCGGCACATAAATACTATCTGGGACCAGGAAATTTTATAAACTTGTGACAAAAAAATATGAGAGCATACCCACCAGCTACTATGTCAACCAAAGGTTCCCAACAGATTTTCCATCCATAACTTCATAAAAGAAATTAGACATTATTCTGTTGCTGTAAACATCTTGATTATTTGATATCAGGAAACCTCAGTGTTAAGGGTAATGCTTTGATATTTTTCAAAAACATTCCAAATATCCATGAGGTTTGTATCTTGAGTTTCTGGAAAAATCTCTAAAGAGTCAAAAACCATAGGAGAATCAAACTGTCTCTGGGGAAAATAAATTCTGAAGACTAGCCAGAACCATCTGTACACTCACTTTTTAATCTTTTCCCTTCTTGGATTGCATGCAAGTATGAAGTTTTCAGGGAGTGACTGGCCTGACTCCTATTTTCAAGTACTGCCAGCTGTGGGTAGTGGCCAAGCTAATTAAAAGTCATATGTCAAAGAGGAAGTATCTTACTGAAACTGTTCTAGGACAATAACTGAGCTTTTTCTTTAAATCAGTGAAGGAGAGTATCTTAATATATTTAATTTCTTTTAGTTTTATATTCATGGGTGCTATTTTATGAACTTGGTGGCTGGTAGTCATAGTATAAATAGTTTTTATTTGTTAATATTTGGAGAATGTGAGCATTCCACTGCAAACTACTCTTTAGTCAGGAGCCATTCCTGTGCACTCTGTGTCTAGCTAGATTGATCTATAAGTCTTACCATTGGAGTCAGAGCCTAGTTAGATTTCTAGTGTCCCATGCTTAAATATAATTAGGTAGCCAAGGATCACCATCCATTGGAGGAAAGTTCTTAATAAGAAAGAGATCAAAATAATCAAACCAAAACAACAAAATCCAGGAAAAAGTAATTTAAAGAAAATAAACTTCCTGTAGGAAGAAGTAGAAATCATGACTAGTATGTTCAGTGAGATAAGAGAAGATATTAAATACGAATAAGAATACTATAAAAAAAGAAACATTCAGAGAGAAAAAAAAAGAGCCTATGGAAATACAAAATATAAGAGCCAGATGAAAAAGTAAATGGTTAGAAGAAAACATTGAAGAAAGCCCCCTCATAGCAGATCAAAAAGACAAAACGGAGGGGGCAAAAGTAAAGAAATAGTTCTAAGTCTCAGAACTGAATGACATGTTTCCACACACAAAAACCAACCAAGTGCCCAGAGAAACAAATAAAAATAGAAGCCACCAGGCACGGAGGCACATGCCTATAATCCTGGTATCTCAGGAGGCTGAGGCAGGAGATTACAAGTTCGAAGCCAGCCTCAGCAAAAGCAAGGCACTAAGCAACCAAGTGAGAGCCTGTCTCTAAATAAAATAACAAAATAGGGCTGGGGATGTGGCTCAGTGGTCGAGTGCCCTGGGGTTCAATTCCCAGCAACCCCCACCCCCGCAAAAAAAAAAAAAAAAAAAAAAAAAAGCAGCCCACATGGGGGAATAGCCCTATGAGATTTTAAAAATTCTGGTGGCAAGTTAAGATCCAAAAAGCTTCCAGCATGGAATAAAGTCTTCCTAAAGATCCAGAATCAGAATGATACCAGGTTTTCTTAACTGTGACTTCGGAAGCTATAATTGATCAATGCCTTTGTGCTGATGGAAAATTATTTCCAACCTAAAATTCTATATCCAGTTAAACTATTAATTATATGTACAGCTAGTGTGAAAGAAAAATATTTTATATCATGCATTTTCTGACATGAAAAGTCTTTAAAAACTCCTTCCAGTCTCATTTTCTCAGTAAGCTTCTGGGAGCATGTATCCTCCCAAAAAAGGTAGTGAAAAAGAAATAGACCTGTGGAATAAGGAATCGCAGAAGGGAGATAGAGCATATCACCAAGACGGTAGAGAAGGCTCCCCAAATGAGCATGGTGGTAGGCACATAGAGAAATGAGTTAGTAACAGGTCAGAGGGCTGAGAAAGAGATTAGCAGCCCTGATATCCAGGAGCTGGCTGCGCACTCACAGCTAAGCCCTGGTGTTCTGTTGATCCTAAACAATTTCACAGAACATCAACTTCAGACAAAGCCACTGTGTGATTATGATGGAGCAAGACAAAAACAAGACCATTTCATAATTGTTTTTGAATACAGACAAAAACATGAATGTTGTCCAAGCCACAAAACAGCATACATCCCCCACTTACAGTCTTTACCAATTACAGCTTTCCTCCATCTAGTCTTTTCTCTTAAGATTTGTTAAGATACTCAACCATAAAATTACTCTCATCTCCTGACAACATCCAAATTCAAAGCTAAGTCTCATTCCTTACACCATTTCCCACATCACATGACACAAGTCCAAGTGTGGCTAATACCCTCTACTCCTTTCTAATTCCCTCTGCTGAGACCTCCTACAATTCCCTGTGGTATGTGTTCTCCCTTGCTGCAATGAGTGATTAAACAACCCATTCGATTATAAAAGCATTCCTGTTGTCTTTTGCTAGAGGCCACTGACAAGGCTCAGGAATGATTTCTTCAAGAAAATTAAATGCGTGGACTATCAAATGTGTTTTAACACACTGAGAGGAAATTCATGCAACTGGAGAGAAGGGGCTTGGGACTGAACTAATAAATACACAGGAAAATATACAAAAGAAAAAACAGGATGATTATAAATTCCTGAGAGTGTAAAGTTTTATTAAAAAAAGGGCAATTATATAATATAACATGGCTCAGGTATGCATAGGCTTTACATGTTCATAACAATGTAAACATTAAATTCTGAACTAACTGAAATTATGACTTGAGCATACTGGGATCATGGAGTGACAAGAAATGTGTACATGGAGAACAGGGATCTGAAAGAGAGCCATATCCTTCTCTTTTACAGTGAAATGTACAAAGATCAGTTTTAAAACTGAAAACTCAAGTAATAGTATTATAAGCATGTCACATAGGAAATGAAGAGATAGCAAAAGAACCAACTGAAGGAATAGCACTTAATTTGAAGGGAACTTGATGAGGAGTAGGAAATACACGGAAAATCTTTCTTTCCATGCCTGGAACAGACATCTCTAATTGACTACAGAGGTCCTTTCTGACAAGGCCGTGCTGGGCCTCAGAATCCTTGGCAACATGGTCACTGAGGAGCTGGCACCAAATGAATGGCGCTGATTCTTGGAGTGATACTTGTTTGCCTTGATTGGACCATATGATCTTTATGATTCCTCCCAATTCTTTCTATGACTATGTGAAAAAAGGACCTATTGAATGTCTTGCATAGGTGAGTGATATTCATCAATATTATTTTAGTAGAAAAATGGAGTATAGATTGGACATGGAAGGAATAGGACCTACAGAAAATAGCCAGTGGGCAATTGTAGTCATTCAGGTAGTGAGAGTGGGTCCTGAGAAACATTTTGAGGTTCATCAATACGGCCTGATGATGTAGTCTTCTCCACTGTAATAAAACAGCCACATTCATAATCTTATCCTAACTATAAAAATTTATTTAGCCTTTTAAAAAGTTTAAAGAAAGGAAAACAATGTTGGAATCCGGATTGCCTTGGCTAGTTGGAGGTACAGACCAACTGACCACATTTACATGATTTGATATATATACATGATTTGATCTGGTCCTTAATGGACATAGTCTGCCATGGTGCCATTCTGAATCTCTCAACTTATAAAGACAGTGATGCACTCAGCCCTACCCTGAAGTGAAACCTCTAGTCTTCTAAAACTAAATGGCTAAATTAATTCCCTAGCCAGGCTGATATCTGATCCAAATAAGACATTTCTCTGGTCTTGGGCAAGAAAAAGAGATTGAAAAACATAGGGCAAAAAACTCTATACTAGGTCTGATGCATTTGAAAACTGTCTTTTCCCTGTTACTTTTCTTCTTCTTTCTCTATAGTTAGCAAAACAATTTACCCAAATATTTTTACTTTAAAAGATGGCTCTCAGTTTAAAAACAAGACAGAAGTTTGCAGCACTCACCTCTAATTGAAGCCTTTTATACATGGCTTGAGTTTGAGTAAGTGAATCTGAGGACACTTTCAAGAGCATCTCCATCTTTTTTAAATTTCGAATATCTCGCTCCTTCTCTCTTTGCTTGTGAGAAAACTCATCATGGTAGTTCTGCTTGTCGATGACATTGTTTCGTATATTGAGATCTAAGATCCCTCTGTCCAGGTACAGGGAGAAAATGAGAATGATCTGTTATCAGCTGTCTTACACATTTTTCAAAATATATCAAGACAGTATCTCAGTATATATGAACAAAACTATTCTCATGTTAGAATCACAAATTATAAATAATGCTCAAAGTTACCAGGTTTGTGAACTTGTATCATTTTGAATTAAAGTTTTATAAAACTCCCAAATGTAATAACAGAGTATCAGAGAGAGAAGCCCCTACTTTCTCTAAAATTTTATCTAAAAATGGTAAGTTGGGGCTGGGGATGTAGCTTAGTGGTAGAGTACTTGTCTAGCATGCATGAGGTTCTGGCTTTAATCACCAGCACTGGAAAAAAAATAGGAAATAAAATTCTTCTAAAGAATCACACCATGAATTTGTCTCTATTAGGAAAAAAAAAATCAGGATTACTTCAAAAACATCATTTATTGGTTGGTAAAATCTCTGAACTGTAGAGCACACACCAGTGATATAATTGTCTGGAAGTACATTTCAGAAACTTCAATGGATTTTGTCCTTAAAATTTGGTCACAGAGAATTGAGGAAAAGTATGAGTAAAAGATGGAAAAGGTACTTCAAAACGCTTTATTGATAATAAATTTATATTTTAGTTTATTTCAGTCCTGGGGATTTAACCCAGGGCCTTGTTCATGCTTGGTAAGCACTCTCCCACTGAGCTACATCCACTGTCCAATAACATTTTTAATTAATAGTAAAAACTGATTAAAAATTCTTTTAATGCCTGTAATCTCAACTACTCTGGAGCCTGAGCCAGGAGGATGGCAAGTTTGAGACCAGCCCCAATAACTTCGCAATGTCCTAAATAATTTAAAAAGAGTTTGTCTTAAAATAAAAAATAAAAGGACTTGGGGTGTAGCTTAGTGGCAGAGTGCCCCTGATTCAATCCCAGTACCACACACAAATAAAAAGAAAAAAAGAGTAAAAACGCTTACTTAATCAACATAAAACCATTTAAGAGTATGTTCTGAATCGATGCTTATATATTGAAGAAAAAATTTAGATGACAACACACATAAATATAACTAACTTTTCACTTAGCGAAGTGGCTTCATTCTCTCTGGCTAATTCCAATAGCTTGACTAGTTGGTTATATTCTCGTTCTTTGACTTCAAGCAAGGTTCTTTTGCCTTCAACTTCCTTCATTACATCCTCCTTCTCTTCTACTACAGCACTAATTTTGTTTTCAATTTTCTTTAGGGAGTCGTTTAGCTCTCTGACTTCAAGTTCCAAGATAATATTTATCTTTTCCATTTCTCTGTAAGTGACACACACAAGAGTACCTTATTTCAAGCCCATGCTCAAAACCTGTCAAAAGAGTTAGTCATTAATTCAGTGATGTCAGAGGTGTGTCCAAGTGCTACCGAAGGCAGAATATGCCAGGCTTCCCTACTTCCTCCCAGATCCCAGATCCTGTTGTCTCCTCTACTTCTACCCACATCCTAACTAGCTTCCTGGAACTGACCTGAATTTCTCAACTTTGGTGCTGGTGAGCTTGGTTTTTGGAACCATTACTATTTCATTTCCCCCTCCTCTTTTAAGATCAGTCAGCAGATTTATCATATTATTTCTCCATAATAATCTTTATTCTTTTTGGTTCTTTGAAACCCTGAGAATTTCTTCAACGACCTCTGAATCCAAATCTGTTCTGAATGTCTGAGGGTATCATATCCTCATGAAGTGAAGAGTTACCATCATTTGGGCTGCTGGCTGGATAACATAATTCTAAACCATGAAATTCTAACCAGCTTAAATAATGTATCCCTACCTCTGTTAAAGTCAATTGAAGTTCTCCATAAAAACTATTTATAAATTGGAAACAGAATCTTGACCCATAAATAAATAAGAATGATAGCAATTTGCTGTACAACTTTCTTTTAAAGAACTTGATATATACAACCGAGACAGGGCCAAAAGCAGATATTTCTAAATGATGATATTAATTTGATGTGTCCAGTGATTAGTTGTCTTGATTTAGTGTGCTCACATTACTTGGGGGATGTTAGGCCGGGAAAGATTCAAAATAAAAGCATTAATCTTACACTTTTCTGCGTGCCATTTTTTCAATCTCTTTTACAATCTGTACAGGAACAGTTTGATGGTAGACCACTTCATCCTAGTAAAGAAATTCAATTATGTTATATCATGTAGTCTTGGACCAGAAACAATCAAGACAAGCAAGTGAGATAGAAAAAGGAACTATAATATGTAGAATTCTTGCTATCACACTGATCTTATAAGATAGTATTTGTTACTGTCTTAAAGAGGGTGTCAATGAATGTGACAAAGACTTTTGGAGCTCTGCTCAGATTCCCTTTATGGAGGTGCTCTTCCCACACATGCTGCAGTGGACACCTGCCAATAGCTCATGTTAATCTCTCCATTGTATTGCCATTGGCTGAGCAGGGTATGGGGGGTGGTGAGGTGGAGATGGGGACAGGCTGTGACCAATGACTTAAGTGTCAGTAAAACAGCCCATACCCCTTACCCGTGGGCAATAAGCGGCTGCCATACAATTCAAGATGTAGGGAACTCCATGGGGTCAAGTTAAGACAAGAGTTCTTTTACTGTAGAAACCATATTTTGACCCTGTATCTTCCCCAGCTCTATCCTGCTCCTGTGGGATCCTTCTGAGAGCTCTCCCTCAGTTATTAAATATCTTAGGCACTGCTTTTATGGAACCCTGCCTAAGATTCATGCTAGAAGTTAAACCATTTTCCCCCACAGTCTAAATAGAGAATAAATGGCAAGAAGTTAAATTTAAGATCAGAAGTTAAGTTTATCCAATACCACTTTCCATTATGGTCTGTGGATTCATGGAAATTTCAGGCCCAAGAGTCACATGTACATGACAGGGGTTACATTAGGGCCCTTTCCTGCCTGAGGATCACACTGGACTTTGGGACCTGCAGTCACACATAGGCATGGAGGTTGAACACATCACTGTGGCAGAACATCTTTCAGTGGAACCTTGCTCAATTCTGGGGCAAGTCCGCGTTTTGTGAGACTGAAACTTATACTTGGGAGACCCTCTTCAAATAAAAGAGTAAAAACTTGCAAATAGTAAATTAGGTTCAGGCCCCTTGGAAGAGGTTCATATAAGTGAGGGGCCTGAAGCTTATGCTTCACTGGGTTCCTGATAAATCCATCTCTGCTTAGTTTCTGTATTCCAGGCAACAGCTGGGCACATGTTGACCAATCGCTCTTAGACTCAAGGAAAAAGAGGTCAAAATACACCAGAATTGTCCTCTAAGTCAATGGGTCTCAGATGGTTATAAAAATAACTCTAAAAATAGTTATTTTTAAAGCAACTCTAGGTTATATTTATTTTTTTGAAACTTACTATCATACATTTTTCTTAAAATATGAATTTTAGTTAATTATCTCCTAAAATATAAATACAGGCCCCTTATCATTTTTATGGTAAGAGGACAAGAAGTGGATTAAATAGACAAGGATAAGATAACACAAATACACACAAGAGGTTAGACATTTGGTTGCTCTTCAGGGAAGCAAAAGTGTGACACTTTTTTTTTTAACATTGAAAAATATTTGATGATGTCTAAAGAGGCCTGTCTCCCAGAGCCAGGGCTTTAAATTAAAACAATAGTATCTATCAAACACTCCAGAGTATTTTTGTGAATTCTCAGAGCTTAGGTTTAGTTTGATAGGATCCTCCAAAGCACACATTTGTGAGACAGTATCCCTTTTTGTCAAACCTATGTAGTTAACCTTATACAAAGGTATTTTTACATCCTTGCAGGTACAGTGTTCAAATATTCCTAAACTATAAGCACCATACCTTTAGGACAACCTGGTGTTCCAGCAATTCTTCTAGTTCCTTCTGTTCCTTTACTAATTGCTTTTGCTTAAATGTCAAATCTTCCCGCAAATTTTTAATTTCTAATTTTTTCTGCATTATTTCTTTACGTAATTCTTCAGTGCTGTCTCTGAGTATTCTCATCTTCTTCTCCATTTCCTTTAAAAAGTCATGAAAATTATCAGGTTATATAGTCTGAGCAAACATTTATCTATGTAAAAATGGAATGAAACAGAATTTTATCTTTTTGATTATATTTATTTTGAAGTGCATGAATGTTTTCTTACAGAGTTAAATGTAACTTATGCTTTCTGAAGACAAGACTTATGCTTGTCTTCAACAAGGACATGACAATTATACTGCATGCTTAATTAAACATTTTATTTGAATTTTTTAAACTAATGCTTCAGTTTTTAAATGTTTCCCTTTTCTGAGTCAATTTTTATTTCATACCAAAAAACATTAATGACAATGTCCATTATGTTTTCTAGTAGCTTTGGGATTTGACAAAATCAGCTGCAAATAATCTTTGAATATCTGGCTTATGGTTAACTGGAGTCACACATGGGAACTGAAGATGAAAGGGTTCATATTTGAGATGTCCAACTCGTTCCATTTCTTAACTGTCCCACTTTCTCATTACTATTATTTCTTTAGCTTCTATGTTTTCCCCAAATGTCCTCTACCCCAGACTCAGAATAGATTGCATTTCCCATGGCTTATTATCCAGATAATGCTTGACTTATGAGAAAAAAAGCCTTCTTATACTCAGAAATGATACATGATACTAATGTCTAAGTAGATGGGTCTGTTTAACCTGCTCTGGGATTTCTGAGTAGGTCCCTCCTTCCACTGCTGCCAGGAAAGAGTAAAATTGGTAATCTACAACCTGAAACTAAAATTCAAAATGCTTTTTCTTATAAAATCTGTGTTGCAAACAGTGGTTAGATGTATTTATGTACAATTAACAGTATTTTACTAAATGCTAAATAGGTTTTTGTGGGCTAGCCATGGAATTAAATCATCAACATAATTTTAAAATATAACCATTCAGAAAGCAAATGCAATATTTGATGCATGATGATCTTTCTACTTATTATCTAAGGTAGAAAAAAATGGTCACAAATTCCTCATATTCCTCAGGGTGTACATGCCTCTCTGTAATATATATTTGCCATTCTTCTATTAAAAGGAAAGGCCTATTGTTCTATATCTTGATTCCAGAATTGGCCATGTGAATTGCTTTGACTACTGAGGTATTACGCAAAATGGTTTAAACAGAGGCTCAAAATGTTCTTGCATGTTGGAATTTGCCCTCTCCTGAGGCTGGAAACTCTTCTACTATCATGGGATCAACTAGTGACTATGACCTTAGACCAACTAGCCTGGTGCAGGGTTGACATACACAAGCCCCAAATGAGCCAGCGCAGACCTGAAGAATTCAGAACTGTAGAAAGTAAGGAATTATTGTTGTTTTAAGCCACTAAGCTTGGGGATGGTCTGCTATGCAGGAATAGATAAGTAATACATCTTCTTTATTAAAAAATGTTATTGTAATAACTTGAGGAGTTAAGAAAGCTAGGTAGGGTATGAGCTATAGCAAAAATAATATTTTTAAGTGCTCAACATAAAACCTTCCTTGTTTTTTGGAAACAAAAACAAAGCAGATATTGTTGAACTAAATGATTAGATGCAAAATAGCTAAAGCCTATGATAGACACCACTCATATTTACAGTTTCATAGATACTGTCTTCCACACCTTCAATAGTCATGACTTTTCAGTCTTCAAATGTTTCAGGGTATGTTTATTGTGATGAAGATTCTTATAAAAGGATGTTTGAATCTAGCTGCATTTGACAAACTCTAAATCATCTATACTTACTCCTGGCTTAGGTATCTTCTCAAATTCCTTTAACATGAGGTCCTTTTCTTCTCTTAAACTGTCAAGAAAAAAGAAATCAAGTTAGAGAAAATACAAAAGAGCAAGCTCTTTCTGTGTTTATAACATTCTATTTTCTCTTCTCATAGTCTGTTCCCAAGTTTATCTGCAAGCACCCTGATGTCCATTCTTTATGATGGGCTTGCCAACTCTCCTGGGCCCATTTGAGGCACTTCCTTCTCCTCAGCATCCCTACAACACTGAGTACACACACCCAGTGGAGAAGTCCTCTTAGCATGTTATAACTATTAGGGAGCACAGCCTTCCCTCTAGACTCAGGCTCCTTCCAGGCAGGCTCTGGGCCTTCTTTATACTACTTGCAATGGAGGACTAGTGCCTACCTGGGTTACTGACACAGCCTTCTAACTGGCCCTCCTTGCCTGCCTCCAACCTTGCTCATGAAAGTGAATTACCACCCAGCACCATAGGGAAGCCCAGTTGGCCCTGCATACATTGTCTCTCCAGTCTTACTGCCTGCTACCCTCTAGCTCTGGTCACACTGGCCTTCTTGCCAAACTTGTTCCTACCCCAAGACTTTTGCCTTTTCTGATCCTTGCAATTGGCTTGCTCTTTCCACAGATCTCTGCACAGGCCACTCTTCACTTCATGTAGAGCTTTACCTGGCGTCACCTTCTTGCAGAGGCACTGGATCATCCTATCTAAAACAGCATTCTACATCACTCTTTCCTTGTCCTTCTATAATTTCTATATACTATCCATCACAACCTGAAACTACATTATGTATTTGTCAGTTTGGCCAGCAGAAAACCTAGCTCCATGAGAGCAGGGACTTTGTCCTGTTTACCACTGTATTGCCATGATTCAAAAAGCATTTGCATGGGGCTCTGGTTGTGGCTCAGTGGTAGAGCGCTCACCTAGCACATGTGAGGCACTGGGTTCGATCCTCAGCACCACATAAAAATAAATAAATAAAATAAAGGTATTGTGTCCATCTACAACTAAAAAAATTTTTTAAAAAAGCATTTGCATGTAGTTGGCACACAATGAATATTCACATGAATCCATAGAATGACTGAAGTTAGTTTTATTCCTTGTTTTATTATTTGAAATAGCATAATTTATATGCTAAATGAGAAGCCTATGCATATGGAAATATAACTTCCTCAGAATGGCCTATTGCATCACATTGTTCTATATCCAGATTGGAGAAAAAAACTGGTGTAAGTCATGGAAGGGAAGACTACACAGTTGTTTTCAGAGATGTGAAGAAGGGTTATTTCAAGAACTCACTTTAGTTTTATGTGATGACTGAATTCCTGAGGGATAATATTAGAGGGGAACATAGTTGCAGATGTGGTTGGGTGGTGGATATCCAAGGGATTCAATGGATGTTTCAGGTGAAGGACAGATAGGCCAGGAGGCAAGTGTAAAGGAGTATTACATGTGGAAACTTGAGAACAATCCTCTTTTATTTCCCTTCCAAACTATTAGGAACTCCAATATGAATTCACAGGAAGACCCTGTGTGCATACCTTGTACTTTTATCTCATGGGTGTTTGGTTCATAAGAATCTGCCTTCGACCCCTGTGACAAACACATTGCCATGAATTCGTTATGCCATTTTCCCTCCCCGGATACACAAGAAGTCTACATTGTATAGCCTTCCTTGCATTTGGATGGCGACTAATTCTTGGCAATGAATGGGAGTAAAGACCATTCGTCTTCCCAGCCACACTGAACTGGGAAGGCCCGGGATCCAGTTGCCAAAGCTAAAAGATGGAGGGGATGTGACTTGCACTGGACTGCTGGGAGCTAGAAACAGAGTTTAGTGATTCCACTGACATTTGAAAATGTGTTACTACTAAACAGCCCAGCTGAAGTCTGACTTCTTATCCCCTCAAATTACAACTCATTATCTTCCCCCCTGAGATCTGTTTTTCTATTCTTCCTCTCAGTCCATGGCACTTGGGTCACTTTTCAAAATTATGAGTGTGAATCATTCTTGAAGCTTCTCCACGCCTTGCTCCTGTCAAGTTTTTTTTTTTTTTTTTTTTTGTCTTTAGCTTTCAGAAGTTGTATTAAGATGCATTTGGAAAGTATTTCTTAAGGCTTACTCTGATTGGGTTCATCAAGCTCCGCAAATCTGTGGGTTTATGTCATCAAATTTGGGAAGTTTTCAATGGTTATTGCTTCAAATATTTATTCATCACTTCATACTTTTTTTCTCTGCAACTGTGATAACATGAGATTTTTTGGTATTGTCTCATGCATGCCTAATGCTGTTCATTTTTATTCAATCTCTTTTCTCTGTGTTGCTTAGAATGGATAATTTCTATTTATTTACCAAAGTTAAATAACTTCTATCATCTCCAATCTTCTATTCAGCCCATCAATTAAGTTAAATTTTTAGTTACTGTACCTTTTAGCTCTAAAATTTCCAAGGAAATGTTCTTTATATGTTTTTGCTGGGAGCCATTAGCCAAGTAGGTATGACAATTTCCTTGCCAGCGTACCCCATGTTGCTTAGTGGAAGGACTCGTGGAAATAGGACATTTTGCAGTGACATTGCATCTAAGGTAACCTTGCTCAAGGACCAGGGCGGATCCGGGTTTAGGGTGTTCCCAGTTTAGGATAATCCGGGTTTAGGGCATTCCAGGTTTAAGGTTATTCCTGCTGGGAATAGGGCGTATCCTGCTGCCTGAGTTCCCCTTGAGTTCTCACGGGATTCAGAGAGTATTTTTTGGGAGACAGAAGCCCAGTGGGTGTGGATTTGGGCAGAGAACATGGATTTCCCCAGAACGTGATTGTAGACGGCTGGTGTGAGTTCAGGAATAAAGAGTTGCTGTTTGAATCTACAAGCTGTGTGGTGGCTCGTGATTTTGTGCCCAGCCAGACTGCGGCATGTTTTATTTTCTGAGACTATTTTTTCCACTGTTACAAAGTTGTTTGGAATTGTTTGTGGATGATATAAGCACCATAAATATTATAGGATTATTGACTGTTTATTATATTAATTAGTGTGTGTGTTGAATAAATAAGTGACTATAAGCAATGTGCCCATGATGTACTGTGAACTGCAATACTTAGATAAACTGCAGAACCCAAATAGTCTTAAGTTAGTGATGTAAGAGTCTACACCCGGGATGTACACCCCAGACCTTACCCAGTTATCAGCTATAAGCACAACTGAACTAGGACTTAAAAACCCCAGACTTCTGGGGAGCTATGGGACTAACAGGATCAGGACAGAAAGACTGATACTTCCATCGCTGTTGTCCCCCCTGCACTAGACTCCTCTGGCACAGATCCAGTTCCAGTGACCCAGACTTAAGACATGTCACGGGTGAGCATCTGGGACCCTTGGGTGTAGACTCAGGACTTAGGATGTGTGTTTGAAATGTGATGAGCATTAATAAAAATAGATTTTATTGAATCTAACTGCACCTCAGACTGAGTCTATAGTAACTGCTTGTGACAGTGGAGTATGCATATAATAGCTGCTTTAAGTTCTTTGTCACATAACTCAAACACTTTTCTCATCTCAATAATGATATCTACTTTTTGTCTTTTCTCATGGAAGCTGATATTTTCCTGATTATTTATATATGACAACTTTTGTATTATAGCCTGAACATTTTGAACATTCTATGAGATTCCAGATTTTACTTAAATTCTATGACAACTATTGATATTTTTGGTTTCCAGACCTAGTTAGGTTTGTGTCAAAGGTCCAGTCAAGATTCTGGGGGCTCTCATTTTTTTCAGTTCAGTTTTCATCACCTTTGCAGTACTATTCAGATTTTTCCTTTATGTGTGCCCCCCTGGACAGGTTTGGGATATGGGAAATGAACTCCCTTATTTCAGTCCTCAAAGACTTCAGTAAGCTGTTTAGGGTCAGATACACAAATGCTCAGCTTGAGGGTGAGCCCAGAAGTTCATGAACACATGAATGAGTTCACACGTACAAGCTCTTCTTCCTCTGAGATCCCTTCAGTACTTCCTAGAGACTTGGATCTTCTGATCTTCTTCCTTTTTAACCTTCAGCCAGAAAAATGGAGATTTAGTTGCCCTGTGCTACTTTGGCAACTGAACTTATATCTGGAGATAAGCAGTGGGATGACAGAGAGAAAATGAAAAAATAAGCAAAGGGAATCTTCCTATTCTTTTGGGAATCATAGCTCTAAAATAGTGAAGTTTGCCTCTCCTTAAAATCTTGGCTCCTGTGGTCTTCCACTGCAAGTGGCCTCTGTCGTTGCTGCCTCAGTGTTGCTTGGGAGCTGAAGAGTGAGAGAATGTAGGGGAGAAAAAACCAAAATCGGGGTCTGCATTCCGAGCATTATGAGTTCCTTTCATAATCTTTGAACCAGAACTAGTTTTTTCTGGGGTTCTGTCTGCCCAGGTCAATGTCCACTTCTGGATTTTAGCTGTAACATTCAGGCTAAGAGATATCAGAGGGGAAAAATGGCAAATTCACCACCACTTCAGGATCATTTCCCTCAATATGCCTGCTGTTATTTACTTTTCAGAGGAAAATATATGCTACATGTGTTTCACCCAATTTCATAGTTATGTTTAGTAGAAGAGACTGGACACAGTGGAATTATTCTACAGTTCCTAGAGCCAGAACCCATGTTTAAGGCCACTCTGGGAGAAGGTATAGAAAGAGGGCTGAGGACTGATTTCTGGGATTCCAGAATTTACATACACAGAAGATGAGGAGAAACTAGTTTAAGAAAAAAAAAAAGCAAACTATTCTAAAACTATTCTGATTTCCATTCCTATATGCAAGGAGTTCACTTGCCACTCCTTTCTAGCAATAAGTAAAATGCCAAGTGAACTGAGAAATATATCCATAAGAAAATGAGGTCACAGGGTAAACCACCGCCACTAAAATTGGAGGGATAGATAGAGGAATACAGAGAATCACAAGTGTTGATAGAAAAATCTAAATTGTAACTGAGGCATTGCTGGAGGCTCAGTGTGGATGTCTGAGAGTCAAAACCTCCAGGGGGCAGAGTTTGTGAGCTTTGCCTCATGAGC